AGTAATGAAAAATCCAGACTCTTGACCGTTTAGCGTTAGCCGTTAGCTTCACCAGCCGATTACATGGTCACGTGATTTTTGCACACTCCAGCTGTTCTATAGGACCTCGTTGATCGACAGAACCAGCCTCATCTGGGAACACAAGTGTGTTGCGTTGGTCTGGTATGATGAAGAAGGAGCTGTTCTACAGTCATAAAGGCCCTGTCACACTATAACGTTTTAGACAACTTAAGCCGACTGATGAAAATTTTTGTTGTGACTATTTTAAGTTTTCTTCCTGGACCTGTTGCATTAACGGATGCATGGCTGGATGGTCACTTTTAGCTTGTTTTTTTTTACAGTAAAATTGTAAATAGAATTGTTTCAGGAACAGTTTTTACAGCACTGCAAGATAACTTTTTTTTCCCAACTTAGTTCCCCCAAGGCTGAGATGAATATAAATTATTCAAATCCTGACTATTTATTCATTGAAATAAATTGCAAACAATTATTTAGCTTTTATTTACATCGTCTCAACATTTTTGCAGAAAAGAACAAAGAAATGTACATTGTCATTGTAGTCAGTTATGTTCCAAAAGGAGTTGAAGTTATATCTGTAAAGACATTTGAGTTGTCAGCACACTGAAACTCTCCCTCACTGATCCCACCTCTTTCTGCATCTTCTTTACCTCCTACTGCTCTTCCACCTTTGCCATTTCGTCTCTACTTCCTCTTTGTGTTTGCGTGCATATGCCGGTGTGTACCTTTTGGTGTGTGTGAGCTTGTGCGTCTCCTTAGTGCTCTAATTGCATAGCACTGTGTGGGACAGCTGGTGGAAGTGCTAGTGACAGTCTATTAAGGCAGGATATCCCTGTTGCCTTTAGCAGCAGATTGCCCTGTGATTCTGTGATCTCCACATGCAGCCAGCATTCACAGAGACCCACAGAAACAACATTAGGAATCAACAATAAGATGGACATTCTTATGACGGTACTAAGGAGCAGTTTCAGGGTTTTTTTTAAAACCGCTTATGATAATACTTAGAATTAGGTGTTGGAGTGCATCATTTTAATCTCTTATTGCAGGTCGGAGAAACTACGAAATTATTCCAGAAAAATTGAATTAACACTACTAAAACATATTTGTTTAGAAGTTTTGGTTTGTTTAAAAAACTAGTATTAACCAGCTGAACAAGTCTGCTATTTAAAGTATACTAAAAAACAAACCAAAAAAAGTAACATAAAAGATTTTTAGACACAGCAAAACATAACAAAATGACCTACAAATTAGCATTTTTAATACAAACACCAAATCTGCACTTCAAGTTCTTGCTGACCTTAACTTTATTTTTCTGCAGAGGCTGAAATCCATGTTTTTAAAGTGCCTGTGACATGCATATAATTCAAATACAAAAAATCAAAGAAAACATCTTTATATTTAAGAAAGTTACAATAATACACATGATTTAACCTATTTTGCCACATAAATGGCATATTTTCTTTTGAACTTGGTTCAGCCAAAGTGAAACAGAAAGTGACATCAAAGGGGAACTCTTTAACAAAGAGAACTCTGGCTTTTGTTTATTGAAACAATATTATTTGAACTCTGACTCTTCTTCATCTCTCTCTGACGGTGACTCAAACTAATCTAAAGAAACATCAGATTCTTCTCCACAGTCTGTGTTGTTAGCTGTTGTAGCACTGCTCTGTTTACATGCAGACATTCCCCTTTGACATCACTTCCTGTTACTTCACAGGCAAATATCTCAACAACTGTTCATCTCAGCGACATGAAATTTCTTTTGAAATATTTTATCAATGGCCTCTTTTGAAAAATGCATTCATATGTATTACAAACATTTGACGTCACAGGCACTTTAAAAATGACATCAGAAACATAGGAAAAGTTTTCAGAACTTTTTCAAGGTCATTCACCACAAAGTGTTAAACTGTTTCCAGTCTGTTCTGTCTAATGCAGTGGTTCCCAAAGTTGGGGGTCGGGACCCAAAGTGGGGTCCTGAAATATCAAGGTGGGGTCCAGAAAATATTTTCTGAATTAATTATACTAAAAAATGACAACCAAAAACCTTTTTTGCCTTTGTTTTTACAAAAATAATAAGATTAGTGTACTTAGAATGGACAAAAATAA